TTTCCTTCTGTTTTTTTTTTTTTTTCTTTTTATTTTTTTTTTTGTTTTTCATTCTCTACATGTTTGGTGAGTTTTTTTTTTTCCGAACAAATGGTATCAGAGCTCACAGTTCAAGCTCTTAGATGTTGTTATGAAGATGATGACAAGTTCAAAATTTAAGGTTGATCGATTTGACGGGAAAATTATTTGGTAGGAGTAACATCTAAGATATTCTCATGCAATCAAGACTTTACAAGGCTTTTTTGGGAATAAGAACGAAATACTCAGAGTGGGAAGAATTGAAAGCAAAGACAGTTCTATCATATTAACATATCACACGGAGACCAACTTAATATAAATTGAAAGATCAAGGGCTTGGATTACAATTATGAAGGACTTAAGCTGAACAAGTTGATGAAATTAAGCACCAAACTGTAAATCGGGGATAGAGAGTGTACACTGCGATCGCAAGGTGCAAAATCCCTTTGCGATCGCAAGAGTATGATTGGAAATTGCAGAGAACAAAATAGGACTGTCATGCGATTGCACAGTAGTATGCCATGCGTTCACATGATATTATTATGGAAAAAAATTTATGTTTCCTTCTTGATTTCGTCCATGTTATGGAAAGCAATTTGGCCAATAATTTAACCTAATTTGGACTGCTAATTTCATGATTCTTGATTCAAGAACATGAAGGACAAGGTTAGGAAGGCATTCAATGCAATTAAAATCAAGAGTTTGAAGGTTCATAGCTTCGAATTGAATATCAAAAGCAAGGAATAATCCAGAATAAATTAAAGCTCGTTTAGAGGAATTCAATGAGGCGAAATTGATTCTAAATCTTCTTCTTGCAAATATATTTTCTGAGTGATGAATATTCATAGTTTTTTTTTATCATAATTTCATAAATATGCTAAGCTAAACTTAAAGTGTTGAGGTGGAGACAAACCGTTGTTACTCCAATTCAAAGACCATTTCTTTTAGCATGAATTGTGTAATTAATTGATATCACATGATTATTTCTTATTTAAATGCTTGATCATCCTTAAAATATTAAGTTGCTTATTTTTTTGGGAGGTTCAAAATAGTATTAGAATATTGTAATAATCAACATAATATTCAATAAAAAGTTAGGAATAATAGTTTATAACTTGTGCAACAAAAACAGGTAACTGTGACATTTAATGAATTTTAAAATATTTGAATTCGGAATATGGATGTTTCAAGTCATGTTTAAAAATAGGTATAACTTACTTCGAAAAAGATAGTTGAAAAAAATTGGATTACCAATTGTGAATTTATACAAAAATTAGATGAATTTATGTTGGGAACTGGAATCGGAGAACAATAGTGCAGTCAGAATCCTAATACGCTCTTTTCATATAAAGTCTTTATTAAATCATTCTTCACATGCAATTAGATATAGCCTTTGTTAGGGCACAGTTCTTACTAGATTTAAGAATATCTTGGACTATGTTACAGTACGTAAGTCCCTTTGCAATCATCATTATTGACTCAACATCAATTAAATTTTCTGAAATACCCATATCTCAAATATAATGAAATAAATGTCAAAATGGGACAATTGTAATTTTGTTTGGAGTGGTGGATAAATGCAATTACCTTATCTCAATTCAATATAAAAGTAACAAATCCAAGCCAAATCAATCGGACACTTTTATTAGAATCTCACATTGACCGGTGATATTAACACGATCCACTTAA